CAGAATATATAAAAAAGGAAAAGAAGTGTGGAAAGATGGTGTAATAAGGTCATGAATTGGAAAAATGATACATATTGTAAAAGGAAAAAAATGCAAACACAAAAAGCATTGGAATCAGTTAAAGAAAAAGTTTACTGAAGAAAGGCCCACAAGAAAGGAAGTACTGCATGATACTTGTGATGTACCAACACCTCAAGAATTCATTGACCATACAAGTATGATTACCAGAAAAAGGAAATGTATGGAAAAACTAAAGGATGACCCAAAATGAAAGAAATACAAAGTTCAGTACACTGGCAAACTCACCAGAAAGCAGGCGGAGTGAATACTAAGAAATAAAATAAATAGTTTACTAATAAAAAAAATTCTCAAAAATAGAAGATGTGGAGTAAATACCCCCCCCCCCCGCTCCCCAGTAACATTAATGAACTAGGCAAGACACCTTAAATAAAGAACTTCAAGTGAGTCAGCGTAGTCCATTAGAGTCAGTCAGTAGCCTAAGCAAGATATAATATTATAACTACTAGGAGTGAATAATCATAAAAAATATAATAACTACTAGGAGCATAATATTATAACTACTAGGAGCATAATCATAAAAAATCCAGCTAATTCTCACCCTTATTGGCAATTAGGAAGAGTAGTTGAGCTTATATTAGGTGATGGTAAAAATGTTTGCTCAGTTATAGTTAAAAGAGGGGATGGTTTGACTTAAACTCATCGTTTGAGCCATCATCATCCTTTAGAATTTTCTTTAACACATAACTTTAATTTGGCCCATCCAGTATCTGTAAATGAATGTTTCCCATCACTCACTAAGGGGCACTGATTCAGTCAGAAAATCTTAAACGTTAGCTAAAATGAAAAATAAAAAAAAAACTCTGATCCTAAGGACCTTAATATTTGGTATTAGGCTCTTCACATTACATATTTGTGAATTAATGCAAAAATGGACAGATTTCTTTAAGCCAGAATTAATGGTTCTAAAATATCAGGTCATCCCATAAGTTCTGTCCGAATTTTGAATAAAGAAAACAAGTGACCAAATGTTACATTTAATTACAGATTCAATCAACAAAGTATTTTCCCTGATTATCTATGACTTCCTTCCATCTATTAACAAGCTTATTAATTTCATTACTGTAAAATTCTTTTGGCTTTAATTCAAAGAACTCACCAATGTCAGTTTTAACCTATTCCTGTGTTACAAAAGCTGTTTCTTCCAAATGATTCTGTAAGCTACGAAACAAATGGTAGTCTGAAGGAGCAAGATCTGGAGAATAAGGTGGATGAGGAATTTTCTCCCAACCAAGTTCTTCGATCTTTTGTGACGTGATTCTTGCTGTGTGTGGTCGTGCATTGTCCTGATGAAACATCACCTCTTTTTGATTCACTAGAGCAGGTCTTTTTTTCCTCAAAGCTTGGTTCAAATGTTCTAATTGCTGACAGTATATTTGAGTATTAATTGTTGCATTAGGTGGTAAGAATTCAAAGTGGATTATTCCTTGGCGAAACCCACCAGATTGAAAGAAGAACATTTTGCCCATGAAGTTCCCTTCTTGGCTGTGGCTGGGGTCCTTCCCCTTTACCAAGCCACTGTCTACGATGCTTAACATTTCGATAAAAGATCCATTTATCGTCGCCAGTCACAAGTCTATCCAAAAAAGGTGAAACAAGTTGGTGAGAATGGAGAGAAGAGGAGATGTCAACTCGTGATTTGAGGTTGTTTTCAGACAATTCATGAGGCACCCATTTTTCAAGTTTAGGAACTTTTCCAAGTTGTTGAAGATGACGATGAACAGTTGTATGGTTTGAACTGAGAACCACTGCCAATTCCTCAACTGATAAAGCAGGATCTTCTTCAAGGGCTGCTTCAAGAAGCTTTTCATCAAACTCAACTGGACGTCCGGTTCGATCTTCCTCTTCAAGGGTGAAATCTCCACCTCTGAATTTTGCAAACCATCTTCTGCAAGTTCTTTCATTTACACATTCCTCTCCATAAACTGAGTGAATGTTTCTAGCCGTTTCGGCTGCTGAGTTTCCTTTCTTAAACTCATAAAGCATTATGTGCCTCAAAAGATTCTTTGGTACTTCCATGTTAGCAGGGTTTTAATCAAACAAAATTTAATTTTATTGTTCTCTAAAATAAAATTTGATCAGTTTAAATGCATCTAAACATAAAAATAATGTTCAGCTTCATTAGACATTATAAAATACTCTTTAAATTTCGTTCATTTTAACAAAAAGTTAAAATTCAGATAGAACTTATGGGATGACCTGATAAGTAAAAGGAAAATATATTTAGTGTTCAAATATTGTAACACTAACACAGAAAAAAAATATTAAATATTGTTCTAACTCTGTGAATGAATATGTCTGTCAAGTTTAACAATTGTAAAATGTTTTCACATTCAAGTTTTTCTGGTAATGTGGAAATAAAATTTTGCATAAATGACCAAAATAAAGAAATGCAATTTGTTCTTTGTACAAAACAAAATGATTTCAAACATGGTTCAAACATTGTGAAAAAATCCTTGTATGTAATTGTAATATTGTATATTTGCTATAAAAAATATTGTACAATTACATTCTGTACTTATTGTAAAAAAAAATATCCATTCTGAATTGTTCAAAGGTTCATTAAAATTTTGCTTGCATGAGAAAAGTCTGTCAGTCAGTATAAATTTTATATGTAAAATTTCTTGCACCTTTGTCTGAGGGGAAAATATAAGAAATTTAAGCTGCTTGGACATGTATCAACTGCTTTTCTGACAGAAAGCAGATGCTGCATTTGAAATTCAAAAATAATTTTGGTACATTTAGATTTATGGGAAAACACCTGCGTTTGTTTTTCTCCAGAACCATTCAAAAGGTTTCCCTCTAAGTTCCAAGAAGTGAATTTGGAGGCAACATATAGGTTATAACAGGGGGCCTTGGGTTTAATTAAAGTAGTCAATGAACTGCTGAAACTCAGGTTGCTTCAATCTAGAAAGAAAAACCATTCAGAAGAAATTTGATAACTATCAGACGAGAATTGAAAGGAACATCAAAGTCACTCCCACATCAAAGAAAAGTCTTCAGCTGGTCTGATTGTTCTATTCATCACTGTTACTACAAACTTTGCTTTGAAAATTGTACCAAGTTTTTGGAAACTATTCAGAAAAGTATTTTCTCTTTTTCTACATTTTATATATAGTTTTCTTTTCTGAGGACCTTATGTAGCATTATAATTTTTATTTTAAAAGGGCATATTTCATTTACATTGATAAATTTACATACATGTTATTGGCCATCATTTGGCATACAATGCACTTAATTTGTGTAATTCTTTCAATTTTGTGGTTAACAATAAATTGACCATTTGTTCTTTGTTGTGTGCCCATATAAATTAAAATGTTACCTCAAACATTTGTTTGAACTATTTTTTTGTAGGTTTTTTTTTACCAAATAAAGAAATTTCTTTAACTTACATTAATGGTACAATTTTTTTCCATGCCACGCAGAAGAAAATATGGAATAACTTAATGTTGAGTAACAAATTATGGAATGATCTTGTAATTTGCAATTCTTAAAGCAAATACCAGCAGAATTGTAGATATGCAAATTGGTCTAGAGTTAAAAAAGAGATTCCTGTAAATCTCAAGTGAGATTGGGCAGACCTAATTGAAAGAAAACAAGGCTCCATTAATTGTAACAATAGAAAGGATCATAAATCTCATTTAAGAAGGTAATACACAATGGAGTCCAGTGAACGACGTTGGTTGTTCCTCATCAGTTGTGTTATACTCCGTTGCAATTAGATCTTTCTGATTCTTTTTGCATGCTGGTTGGATATGAATGCCACAAAGAGAATGAAATAAGAAAAGTCATTTTCTGCACATGAGTCTCCACACATCACATCTGGTCCACAAAGTGAGCTTTGGCGGTGGGCAATCACAAACATTACTGCCGGGGAGAAAGATGCATCTGGGGACAACCAGACCTGCTTTTAAGCAGGTCTCTGAGAACAACATGAGCATTTGTGGCCTGGCACAGTCTGAAGCTATCATGCAGGGTGCTACTGCTACCATCACTGCTGCAACCATCTTTATTTTCACCACTCAGCATGACCGCATATCTCAATGGCTGTTACCACTCCCATGCTTGACTAACAACCTTGACTATCCAGCTTCACATTGATAACATCTTGACCTTGTCACCTTGGCAAACATCAACCACAAACTGCCAACTATTCAGTTTCAACACCACCCAGCTACAAGACTTCATCGTTGACAATGATATCATTTTATGCAAATACCGTCTTCATAACATCTCCACATCAGCACCACCAAACTACAAGACATCCTCATCACCAACGCCATCACCTTGGAAAATTCAACTCTGCAAGCAGCAACTGACTCCACAAAGAAGTGACACTGACTCCGCAAGCATGCAACCCACTCAACCCACCAATGCCAATCCAACTATACCTTGTCACCTTAGACAACCCACTGCCATTACCTCAGCCTACTCATTTACAAGACATTCACTTTGCAGTTGTCACTGCACCTCTGTTCCACAGAATAGGCCTACAAAACCATGCTAATCCAATGTCATCTCAGCATGCAATGCATTCCCTTGCAGCCATCACTGCAGCCCTGTTCAAGCCTACCAACTACAGAAAATAGCCTACCACCATGACTTTGATCAACCAACATACACCAACCATAAACCTGTGATCTCACACTAAACCAACACAAAAACAAATAATAAAAATTATTTAAAAATTAATGAAGTCTTGTTTGTAGAGTACTTTCATAAAATAAAAAAAAATACAATAATGTTCAGCTTGAAAATATCAGTAATTAATAATATTAATGTATAAATGGTTTTATTAACAAAAATAATTAAATAAATAAAAGTTTGGTTTTTGAGCTCTCATTACAAACTTTAAGACAGGACAGAAAATTATAATTTTGCTCAAATCCATGTTAAGTACAATGAAATCAAAAAATGCTTACTGTGATAATTTTGTATAAATAAAATCCTGGTTTTACCATTCCGGAAAACAGAAATACAAATGCTCCAATTGTTACTTCTTTCCACATCTGAAATAGAATCATTTTTTGTTATTATTTCCATAATTTGAAGGAGCAGAGATTCTAAAAAAATTATAATTAAAATTGATTTATTTAAAGTTCTATCCCCATCCAGAGGTGTGGAGTTAATTTTCACTTCAAATAACAGAATGCACAGATTTTTTCTAAAATAAATACTATAGAAAAAGGATTTATATAGTCATTACTGGTATATTAGATGTGCTAAAACAATATAGATAATATATAAATATATAAGTAATGTAATAAAAAATGATCATGAAAAATAAATATAAATAACTATAAATAAAAGAAGAATTCAGATCATAGCAATCAATTTTCTGATTATTGAGTATGAATGGCTTCAGCTGTCAAGATCAGAGTTCAAGATGAGATAAATTGTAAGTAGCAGCATTCCAAAAGGATTTTTTATAAAACAAGAATCTTCCATCATGATAAAATGAGGTAAGTATTGTGTTGGTTGAAAAGACTTTATGAATCTAAGTGCAGCATTTTACAGTTGAAATTGCTAGATTTAACCATAAGTTCTATGCTAACAGTTTCTTCTCTTGCTTATGGAACTCTTGGATTTTTATTTTCTACTCAACAATGATCTTCTGATTTTTGGTTGTTTGATGCCATTTTACTGAACAATACTCCACAGTTAAACAGACTCATTAAATTGATAGAAATCAAGATATTAGAATCTACATGTTATACCATTGTATAGATGGGGAACCTAATAAGCCAGGCATTGAAAAAACAAGTTTACCAATTCATATTACTTGCTTTTTGTATTTTTTAGACAAACAAAAAGAACCCCTACTAAATTTCTATATGAGATTTGTTATTTAAATGTAATGAAAATGTTCCATTTTAGAAACAAATCATAACTGGCAGTGGAGCATGGATACTTTCTAACAACATTGAAAGTAAGAGATCATAAGGTAAGTAAAATAAATCCCCACTAACCATACCAAAAGCTGCTCTTTATTCAAAGCAATTGATGTTATATAAGATTAGAAGAGAATCTTCTATTAGAAGTCCTTTTCTGGGGAACAAATGATGGATTAAAATAACTAGGGCAACTAAAGACAGCAATTTAATGAAAATTATTTGGAATATGTTCAGTGAAAGAGCATTAAGCAGCTTGTCTGGAAAGTTTTCAGTTAACATATTCACCAGATATTGCTTCCTCAGATAACCATTTATTCTGGTCTTTACAGAATTCTCTTAATGAAAATACTTTCAATTCCAAGAAAGAGTGAAAGGGTAACACAAGCAATTCCTTATCAAGAAAGATAAAAATTCTGAGATGATAGAATCATGAAATTGGCTGAAACATGGTAGAAAATAGAACAAAATAATATGTTGTTCAATAAAGTTAATGTTGAAAATAAAAAAGAATTATCTTCTCAGATATTATTAATAAACCAAATAAACATATTGGCCAACCCAATAATAAAATAATTATCACTTTCCAATTAACATATACTTCATTTGAATAAATATGATCTCACCATGACATATCCAAGCATATCCCAAGCCATGGAAAAAGCAACAGCAAGTGAAATGATTATTAATTCAGCTTTGGTAAAGGTCAGTGATTGGTCAAATTTTAGTTTCATAAATAAGATAGCAAAACTCATCTGTGGGAAAAAAAAACAAAAAAAAACAACATTTTTCAGTTTAAGGAAACAAATTGAAATAAGAAATTTTTATCTTGATTTTTGAGATGAGGAATTATCATTATTATACACAGATTTACTTTGACTAGTGTTTTCATCTTGGTTGTTATAGTCACAATATTCCAGCCATGAGTTTGATCCCTGCATTGTGGGTAGTGCAAGAGAAAGTTGTATACAGTTGTTGAAAGTTGTATGTTTAGTGGAACATCAAAAAGATAAATTAACTAGAAATAATTAACCAATATTAAGATATTTAATTAATCTTATTAATTGATATATCATTAAGTATGGACAGCAGAAAGAGAACAAGCTTTTTCCATGGATTAAATAAAAGATTTGGTTTGTAGTTCTCATGTTATCAACTATAACATATGAAGAAAGCCAGGGTACAATCACCAAAATATTTTGTGACTATAACAATCAAGATGAAGCCATGTGTGAGTAAATCAGTGTTTAATAAGAAATCTTTTTTTATAATTTCTTTCATCTAAAATTAAAATTCATAACCAGTGCTCACTTTTATCTGAGGCAAAAAGGGACATCGATGGTGAGGCAAAATGATTGTTTTAAAGAAAGTTTAAACAGTAAAGTTTAAATTGACTCTAAAAGATTTTGGGAGATAGCATTTAATAATTTCATCAAGAATTTATATAAGAGAATTGTTTCTGAATTTTTGAATATGTATCAATGCATTTACACAAAGATGCCTTGATTTCTAGAAGTATTTTGCATTTAAACTAAAATTAAAAAAAAAAATCATTTTGGAATAATAATCATTATCAGTCCTATGGTCTGGTCATAGGGTCACTGAACAGCTGAACACCTGATCAGCTCCTTTCACATGTCTTGGTAGGTATTCATTCATGTGTAGCATATCTTGGGTAAAGTAGACTTGTTGGAGCATACCTCAGACAACCCTCTACCTTGACTGGTGATTTCAGTCTCGGAAACTCTTCCGCCCAGTGATACCATGTCAACACTGCTCTGTCTATACTGCCAGTAGTTCAGATTTAACCTGCACCCAGATGTTGGAATATATATTAAGATTTAAATATAACTGAGGTTCCACCCTTGAATTCATATCTTAAATTGAAACCTTAGAGAATATGTTAAAATTAATTAATGTCCAAGGATATTATGAAGTGAGTAATGGTTCAAAAGAGGAAACTTACTGTTATTTGAAAATCAAATTTGAGTAAAGTTGAAAATTTGGTAGTTTGTCTGTACATTTCTGAAATAAAGAAATAAGAACTTATTGATGACGTATCAAAAGAAAATTTAAATATAAGAATGTTTTTTTCAACTATACATTTTCTATTATTAATATTTAAACAAGCTTCTGTACTTTTAATTGCTCTATAAAAAATATATTAATAAGCAAAATGCAATTACAATTGGGTATTTTCTAAATGTTTAACCTTTTTCCAATTTAGAAAACTAATACCACACATTAAACAAATACAGAAATATTCACATATCTTTATAAGAATTTCTTTAAAAAGAAATTTACCAATCTGTTAGCACCTATTAAAAATGATTTCTTTTATCCCACCTTTTCTAAGTTGAATGCCTCTCCTCTGGCTATTAAAATAACTTCCAATAAGACTTTGACCAGTCTATTACATCCTGGAAGCTATTCTTTTGTGAATAATACCTTAACCAATTTACTATAGAAACTTGTGGCTAGAAAGGATTCTCAAATTTTTCATCTCTGAATTCTAAACTAGTAAAAGCAATATGTTTTTAAGATTTGGAAGAGAAAGTTGACAATATGATCTGTGCCTTGTCTATTCATAGACTTCCATGTTTAAATTGGTTGAGGTGTCACCCATGAAAGATAAACTTATGAAATATGGAATAGGAATTACACCAGAAACTACTTTGTATCTATTTCATGTTATTTACAGTCAGTGGATCAAGGAATTTAGTATCGAAGCATCAATAATGACAAAAAAAGAAAGAAAAAAATTGTCAAAATATCATAAAAAATAAACATTTTGTTTTTAACAATCTTCAAGAATACTTCATGTCAAATTTTCAACTGGTTTTAAAACCTAATATCCTTTAATAAAATACAAAAGTGAGTCAATAAAATGGTAACAGACTGGTTATGGGAAAATCACATGACTTTTATAAAACAAAAATACTTACGTTGTAATGCTTCTGAGGCTCCAACTATTTTGAGTTCTAGCCAACCAAAGTTTTGCACCACTAAGACCATCAGAAATAAATTCAAAGGAACAAAAATACAAGCAGCAATCAGTCTGGCCTATAAAACAAGCAAGTCATTTGTTTAGAAAAAGATCTATTTGATGTAAGAAATGCTTTTAATACAATGAACTCCCACTCTTCTTTTTTTTACTATTAAAATCTTTGTCACTACCCTATATGTCTGTGTATATATATCTTTATCGTGTATAAATTTGTGTAAGACTAAATTATTTCCAGCTTATATCAGCAGAACAAAACAGCCCAGCCCAACACAGAATATGACGCATGGTCTGTGACAAAAATTGCTCAGTTCCTGCTACTACTGTCATGCTGTCATTTCACCAACCCACCCTCTTAGTGAAATGAAGGTGATGCTCATTTTTTCTATGATCTGACCAAAGACAGAAATATGACAAAAAAGTGGAGATCAGATACTATACATATCCCAGACTGAAGGCAGAGTAAAGCTGTTTGACTGGAATGAGCATAGTATTTGTTCTCTCCTCATTTGAGATCAGAGAAGGAGCCCAGACCTGGAATTCTAACCCTGTAACAGTACCTTTCTCATTGTACTAATAGAGGTGGGGTTGGTGTAATATTGATGCCAGCATGATAGTGGTTGCGGATACTGGGTAATTTTTGTCCTCAGAATGTAACACATGGTCTTTTTTGCGTGTGTGTAATGCCCATATGTATGTGTATGGGCTTTATGCATAAAAAAGGCCATGTGTCACATCCTGCCTTAGTGGGGAGATTAGGTAAATAATGCTATTAGTTTATATATATATATATATATATATATATATATATATATATATATATATATGAAAAGTGTATATAAATAAATATATATATGTATAATTATTTATATATTATATGTGCGGTACTTATTAGAAAATAATATGACATGTATACATTCACGAGACATTTCCGCCACACTTCCAGTCTTTAAATTTCAACATACAAATGTGTATGTACAGACACAACACCACCCGTATACATACATATGTCATATCCGAAACTGCCCACATATGTTTATATATGTATGAGTCCCGACGAAATAGAGAGAAATTTTAATCCCCACCTTTACTTTTAGGCCTTCCTGTTCTTATCTCATCTGTTACCGCACTCTAGAGATTTCATTTACCTCTCACATTCATCCCCCACTCTCATTCATACATAAACTCTCACTAAATTTTATATTTTATTCCCAGAGTTATTTTTTCTGATTTCTTTTTGAATTTGTAGGTCTGATGAATGGATTGTAATTACGATTCCAATGTAATAAATTATAACCATGGAATATTAGTGTTTAAGCCTTTTTATTATATTCTTACTCTGTCCTGGACATTGTGTTCTACCTGGATTCTATCCTCTTGGAAACTTTTATATGTATATGTATATGTATGTATGTATATATATTATATATATATATATATATATATATATATATATATATATATATATGTGTGTGTGTGTGTGTGTGTGTGTATTAACCACTAATATTATCAATATATATATATATATATATAGGGTGCGATGGGTAAATTGTCGCCATTTTATATTTTTAATTTCCCACATGTGCATTGTTTGTTTTTGATTTTGTCAACTGCACATTATAGTAGGGTCAGTTGGGCACCATCTGTGAGAAAAAGTGCACCATGACTCAATTCAGCACCAACACAAATTTGAAAATAGCATGCTGTACTGCTTGGCATATGTGCTAGAAGCACCAATACAAAGAGCAAAGTGTTTGGGTGTCAATCTGAGGACAATGCAGAGGATTTGAAAAGAGTTGGATGAGTCTTATGGTGATTACGGAGGTACAGCAGCTCGGAAAACTCACTCTAATCGTTCTGATAAGGAAAGAACTCCCAATTTGTTGGTGAAGGCCTCAGACTCAACACAGAGGCCTACATCAAGTGCCTTGTGGAGTTAGTGCTGCCCTGGTTCAAGAGGGTGGCTGCTTAAAGACCCTATGTCTGACAACAGGACTCTGCACCATGCCACATAAGCAGGAGAACTCAGTCATAGCTGTCAGACAATTTCTGTGAGCACATCACTCCTTACGTCTGGCCACCTAACTCCCCAGACTGCAACCCCTTTGATTATTATGTGTGGGCACAGTTGAACAAGAGACCATCAAAACTTCTTGTAACACCAAACTGATGAACTGAAGGCAAGGATTATGGCAGCATTCATCAACTTAGACAAGAAGATCATCCAAAAGAGGTGCAGGAGATTCCAAAGTCGTCTAGGGGTTGTGCTTGAAGCCAATTGTGATTTTATTAAATAAATTTACTCTTGAGTATTTCAAGATAGTTTTGTGTAATTTTGGTAAATATATCTGTTAAAATGTGATGTCAACGTTATTTTCATTTTTGTGTAATTTAGATGACAATTTATCCATCGCATCCTGTATATGTAAACAATAAACAGTGTTTACAACATAAGAAGTAATATCTAATATACAAATTTTTGTTAAAAGCATATTTTAATAAATATTTCATTTGTGTTATTTTTAATTCAGATTTTAAAAATTGCTAAATATAAGCAATGTCTGTAAACGGGATTTTTTAATTTTTTTAATTCATTGTGTTTGTATAAAAAGAATTTATATCAAACTTATCAAAATTCAGTCATAAGTTAGAAAATCTATTGCCTCCATCATAAGTGGTTGTCATCTGAGATTTTACATGACAACAAATTAATGGAATGAAATCAAAAAAAGAAAAAAGAGAAATTTAAGTTAAGAAAGTTAAAAATAATCTATTTAGTTAAATTTTCTTAAAACTAATTATTTAAACAAGTGAAAAAATAATAAATTTGCTGAATTTGTATTATTATTAATATAAAAATTTGAAATTTATTCAAATTTCATGGTCAGTTCTATGTAGGTAAGTGGACTTAGTATAATGACAAAAAAGTTTTAGAAAGTAGATGTCTTGGTGAAAATGTTTTAACAGAAATTATAAAAAGTTAAGAACTATGACAACTGACTTTTCTGTTTGTAGGGCAGGATTTTGGCTGATATTACATAAAAATCTTGATTAATCTATTTGTTGAAAAAGGTAACTTTTCATGTAAAGTAACAATTCTAGAAGATTAATTTTAAATTAATTTATCAAGAAGGAGTAAAAACTAACCAATTTGACTGGTGAGTGATCTGTGGTCACAGCAAACTGAACAATGAAATGTAAGAGAATGATGATGAGTGTGGAAATTAGGGCATAGAGTTCATAGGGTCGTTCTTGTAGTAGGCCATGAATAGTATAGAACAGGCAGCAGGCTGGAAAAAGGTAAATAAATATAATTGGTCATTAAAATTATAAATTCTATATTTGAATTTTTAGATAACATCAAAAACATTTTAATGTCTTACTTGTAAAAGAGTCATTAATATTTCAAGATTTATTCAAACAACTTAATTCAGCACAACAATTCCAGTTGTCTAAATGCATTTTAAAATAGTAAGCATTGGGTGGCAACCAGCTGAGAAGAATAACCCCAAATTCAAAACTGTGGAGAAAGCAACAGGAAACCTTTCCAAAGTCATGACAATCGCAAATTATAAAGAAAAAGAATCTGTGAAGAGTCATGATCATCTGTGTTCTGATGGAACATGACATGAAAGAATTAAATACTGAAAGTGTTTTTTTTTGTTGTTAAAATCCATTTAAGTTAAAGTATAACATTTTGTAGGAAGATGTATTTTTCTGATGCAGTTTTTTCTACTCTTTATGAAAAAATAATAATGTCTTCAATTCTTCCACTTTCAAGAAGATAATAAGTTTTAAGTTAAAGTGAGTGAAGTGCTTTTAAAGTCAAGGGAGAGTGATTAAAAATGTATGCATAATGCCAAACTGGATTCTGAATGTGTTTGATATTGTAACAGAAAATGTTCAGTTTACAATGTACATATACTGCTAAATAGACCATGTTTTTCTGTCTGTTTTTGCATATGTGTGTACTTTTAAAGTCTTCTATATGCTGTGTCTTTTCAGGACATGGGCAATCATGGCTCTCCATAACATTCTGTCCTTTTGTTATGATGTTGATTTGGGGTTAATAAAGACAAACGCCAAATAACACGTAACAATAAAAAGGGGTTTATTCGGTTGGTAAGTAGGTACAGAAATCGCCTGAGTAGTCTATAACTAGCTCAGCCAAGAACTTCTCCGACTCTGTCTGTCTTTTGACATGCCACTATTTAATGTCTTTGTTTGTAGACAAGTTCATCTTCAAGAGGGGTGGTAGGTTTCCTACACAACACCCCCACTTGAGATTAATTCCGGAGGAATTAATATCTTTTCCTTTTGGGATCTGGACTTAAACGTTCCACCATAATTCTTTTTCTTTTGCTTATCCTTCTTGGAACAACTGTTTCAGGCAATGGTGGAGTTGGTATATCAAATAAATCATATAATACCTCCATTAGTTCTTCATTTTCTTTACTTATTTCTTCGATGATTCTTTTCCTTAATTGGTTCAAATGTCTTTTTTGTGCGTCCATTTTTTACTTCATTATCATGTACAGCATTTTACCAATTCTTTGAGTTACCACTCCATCTTGCCAAAATTCCTTCCCATTTTTAATTTTTAAAAAAAAAACTTTATCTCCCGGCCTGAAATATTTCATATTTTCCTGATGCGTTTTGTTCTGGTAACTCTTTTTTTCTTTCCGGCAGCAGCCTATTGAACACAGAGATCTAATTTTTCTAGCAAACATCAGTTCAGCTGGAGACATCCCTGATATTGCGTTTGGATTTGGTGTTATTCTGTATATACTTAAAAACTGCTGTATATTACCATCATCTGTATTAGTACATTTTGTTTTTTAAGGGCTCTTTGAACGTATCAACAAACCGTTCAGCCTGTCCATTTGACCTAGGATGGTACGGTGAAGTCGTGATGTGGACAATTCCCAGAGTCTTACAAAACGTCTTAAATTCACTTCCTGTGAATTGAGTTCCATTGACTGTGACAATTTTTTCTGGTACTCCAAACCGTGCAAACAGTTCTGTAAGAAAATCTTTTGTTACAGAAGCAGTCGGTCTTTTGCACTTACAAACCTCAGGCCACTTGGAATAGCTATCCACAACTATCAAGTAAAAGTATTTTAATTTTATTTCATCTAATGTCACCGGTAATTCTTTTACTGTGTTATACATTAGTTCAACCAATTCATTTTCTGCTTGTAACGACGCTATCACCGTATCTTCCAGCGGTTCCGAAGACGTTGAGATCAGCCTAGATAAACCATCAGCATGGCTTAAATTTTTCGATGATAAAAATTCCATTTTGAAATTGTAATTCAACAAAATGGTTCCCCATCGTTGCAAACAGTTTGCCGTATGAGTAGGTATACCCTTCTTCGAACCATAAATTGAAAGCAGCGGGCGATGGTCGGTCTGCAATATAAACCTTCTTCCATGTATGTATTTATGGAATTTTTTACAAGCATAAATGATAGTTAAGCTTTCTTTCTCAATTTGAGAGTACTTCTTTTCTGCGGGTAATAATGTCCTTCGTATTGCCGTCTCTGAATTTATGCAAAATTACCGCACCTATTCCGTACTCGCTTGCGTCCGATGCCACTATAATTTCCTGTTTAGGGTCATAATGCGTTAGTGATAATTTGACGTCAAAATATTCTTTATTTTGTCAAACGCCTTCTGACACACTTCTGACCATTCCACTTTGCTCCCTTTTTTAAGCAATTTATTTAATGGAGCCGTAAGGCTGCACAAATTGAATATATATCCCATAATAGTTAGCAAGTCCTAAGAACGCTTGTAACGTTACTACATTTTTGGGAGATGGCATGCTTTTGATCGCTTCTGCCCTCGCCGGATCTGGTCTTCTTCCATCAGAGTCTATTATCTGCCCCAAAAACTTAATTTCACTCATAAAAATTCACATTTTTCAGCTGCAAGTTAGAATCCATATTCTTCAATTTTTTCAAAAACCTTATTAATATGTTCCAAATGTTCATTTCGATCTTTACTTTTTATCAAAATATCAAGATATGCAATGGCGAAGTCCAACCCTGCCAGCACAGTGTCCATAATTTGCTGAAAATACTAGGGGATACTTTCAAACCAAACGGCAAACGGTTAAATTTGTATAAACCCTTGTGTGTATTGATAGTCAACAATTTAGGACATTCTTCGTCCACTTTCACTTGGAGATAGGCATCCGATAAATCCAATTTAGAGAATATTTTTCCTCCACTTAAACTTGCAAAAATGTCTTCTGGTGAAGGCAAAGGATATGTGTGGTCTTTTAAGCAATCATTTAGACCCGTAGAAAAAATCGGCACACATCCGAATTTTATTATTTTTTTCTTAACATATACAACAGGGCAGGCCCATCTGAAAATTTAATGCGTGAAATAACTCCTAAATTTTCAAGCCGTTCCAATTCTTTTGTTAATCTGTTCCAAAACACCAAATGGCACATTTCTTTTTTCGCTAAAAAATAGGTTTACATTTTCCTTCACTTCAAATTTTGCGTTCGCCTTTTTGCAACATCCAAGACCTTCTGAAAATACTTGTGGAAATTTTATTTTCAGATCTTTCACCAAATTTTCTGTAACCCGATTTTTACACGGAGAAGAAACATTAATTATATTGCAAAAAGAATTTTCTAGGGAGTTCCCATAAATTAAACAGTATAATCCAATCTGTTCCAAACAAATTTGAAGCATTTTGTAGCACATACACTTTAGACTTTAGTGTCTTACCAACAAATGAAATATTACAAGAAAATTCACCTTGAAAATGCAATTTTCTTCCAGAAATCCCGCGAGCCACTTTTTCAGTTTTTTAAGCAAAGGTCTGCCTATTTTAATCCATGTTGCTGTATTAATAATGGAAATATCACTTCCAGTGTCTAGCTGTAGTTTAACATTTTTTTCCATTAATTTTTTACCTCTATGAATTTTCTTTTCGGCCCCTCCTCAATCTCCTGACGTGACAATACAATATTCACATCTTTTTCGACTTAATTTTTTTTTTTTTTTTTTCTTTTTACAATGAGTACTTATATGGCCTTTATTGCCAATGAATAGCAATTTTTACAAAAAAAAAAATATTCACTTTTTAAAATGACCACCACCGCATCCAAAGCACGTTGGTTTTTTTAACGTTTTATTAACTATTCCTTTTTTGGTCGAATAGCATGGACACGGGATATGTCTTTTTCTTCAATTTGCGTATTGTCATGTTTTAAGTTTTCAATTCTTTGACATTCTTCCGTAACCTTCTGCAAAGTAATCTCGGAATTTTGTTCGAGTTTGCCAATATTCGGGACCTTATGTCCTTATCTTTTGCTAGAAGTCAAGCCTTGAACGAATATCAAACATTTAAATCGATCAATTGAAAGATCATGTAACAAAACGTTCACACATTCTGTTAACATTACCAGCATACGTAACAACATCTTCATCGTCACGCTTTTTACCATATTCAAACACGAGAAACGAGTATGAAACAAACTAACTCGCTCGCCAAAAATACTAGATAAAGTATTAACAGTTTCTTCGAAAGAAATGTCACTAGTTTTTCTTGAAGGACAAAATTCGTATACTTATTATTTTCATCTGTACCCAACTTTTGTAAAAAGTAAACTCACTTTTTTGTTCATCAGTCCAACCATCACATTTTTTTCAAATATTGTTTCAAATCTTCTGAAATACGCAGGAAATGTTATGCCCTCCTCTGAGTTAAATTTGAACTCAGTAATAGAATTAGCAATACCTTCGGCCGTGAATCACGAATTTACTCGATTCTTAAGTAAAATTGCTTCATATAAAGCGTCATTTCGCTGCTGAACTTGTAAATCCAATAGTTGTTCCCGAAACAATTTTTGTTGCTCTTGTTGCAATCTTTGTTGCTCTTGTTGCTGAATTTGACTTTGCACTAGAGTTTTCGTTAATGCAATCAAATCTTCCATTACACGTAATAGATTACACAAAACACTTTTCGAAAACAGTCAAAAAGGGAAAACACGTATATATCCAACAATAAGCACAAGTCTTACTTATTTTTTGGCACGTTGAAACCTATTTCTTCGTGAAGAACAAAGTTCGACGTATTGTTTTTTTTCTTTCAGTGCGAGAAGAAAAAAATTATATAGTCCACCTAGAGTTGAAAGATTCTCCACTCAGCGTGATGAACGAATCTCTCGTCGCCACTGTTATGATGTTGATTTGGGGTTAATAAAGACAAACGCCAAATAACACGTAACAATAAAAAGGGGTTTATCTGGTTGGTAAGTAGGTACAGA